GTCAATGATAGCAATCTCGTAGATGAAGCAAATTTCGTTAATGCAACCATCAAACAAGAAAGTACGAAGATAATCGTCTATCCTGTGAAACTCAAAAGAGTGTGGAAAATTCACAGTAAGACGATCATTTATCTAAGGATTTCTATCTCTTAACTCAAACCAAGCAAAGAATACATAATCCATGAAAGATTAGAATTAAACAACAATACACACTAAGAATAGTAAGGACACCATTCAATATACTCGATCAGTCATCATTCAAGAGACTCAAGAAAGGTAGGAGCAAACAATGCTCAACTATGAAGGAATAATATTGATTAGTAATCTCTTTAACCAACAAAGATATGTAACACATACATTATCTCAAAATATTTATGCCAAAGTACAACTCATTCAACAAAAGTAGGACAAACTCCACAAAGGAACTCATGAACACACACACATCATGAATTCGAAAACCAGAGCCAAAAGAAAGGCTCAACTCTCGAACAACTAGAATTAGTATGAAGATAAGAAGTTTAGTTTTAAAACAATTCTATCAAGTAGCATATTTGGAAAGGAATGGTTTCTGCAAGATCAAAAGATCCAAGACAAGATGAAAATCCTCTTGGTTAAAACATACTTGACAAATGAAAAATGGACATACCATTTAAAAAAAATTCCTCACAGGAAAAACTCTCATTAGAGAAGACTCAAAATGACCACACACGGGTGCTTTAACTTTCAGCCATACCCCCCCTATTTATAGGCTAGCAATTTCGGCCAAAGCACCAAAAAGAAGACCAACTAGGACTCTCTAATCTTATCTCACGCAGGAGTAGAGTTAGAAGAGTATTTGATCTCTTTGACTCGATCTAAAATCTAGGAAACCTTATCTAAATGACTTATCCTCAAATAGGATAATACTTAGAAGGAATCTAAGACTCCTAATTAAAACACTCTAGTTTAATTCAGTCCACGTGACTTATTTAACTAGATAAAATCGAACATTAACTCCTAGACTAGATAAGACTCTACTTCTCGAGAATCAGTTCCAAATATTGAAGTAAAATGTCTTGAACGCCCTTCCAAAATTGGAATATTGATTTTGCGCCCCTCAAGTTGTAGATAACTCCAATTTACTCCAAAACTTGTAGAATTCTCTTTATTGACTCCAAAAGATTGGAAAAACACTTGAAACAATTGAGATAGTTTGCACCCTATCCAATTGTGTAGCAATGGACTCAATCTTGAACATTTTGATCAAATAGGCCGTCCATTCAAGAGCCTAAATGACTCTTCTCTCTAGCTTGATCAATGATTTTCATGGAACACCTAGAGTCAAACTTCTTTGATACTGTTGAGTACTTATTTCCATGAGTGAATCATCTCCTTTGGTTTGAACCCCAGAGTTCATGACATTCTCATCATCTTGATCATAGCTCTCTTGAACCAACTCCCTATCACATAGGTAGTCAAGATCCATCCTTTCTTCCTTGATTGGCCTGCAAAGTAAACTTGGCATCCCAAAATTAGAATGAAGGACTAGCTCATTCCCCTCACTAGGAGAATTACCATGGAAGGTTGATTCTCATCATCCCCTCCTTCTTTAAGAGGATTCGTCCTCGAATCATCAACCTCTAAACCTGCACAAGGATCAAACGAGATATAGGGGTTAGTAAAATCCTCACGCTCACCACACTCTGATTTTCTCTCATTACGTGCATCTTTTTCTGTTTCCATGCTATTTTCATGGTTTTCTCTCGCCTCAAGTCTTATCTCAGCATGACCCTTTTTACTTTCTTGCGTCACTCTCTCGACTTTTTCTCTCCGTTGTGTATAGGTTATCTTACATCTTTTCTCTCACACAGACTCAGTTTCTTCATAAGCCAAAGGCTTAAGAATATATTTTCTATCCTCTTTAGTAAAGACAAAGATATTCTTCGAGCAATGGTGCACAACATCTACATCTGATTGCCGAGGCCTACCTAGTAAAATATCACAAAGAGACATAGGAATTACATCAAAGTAAATTTCATCCTTATACTCACCAACTTAAAAAGATACCATGGCCTTCTTAGTGACATCTACAACCATCTCTTCACTCAACCATTGAAGCTTGTATGGTCTAGTATGCGGATCCATCTTGATTCCGTTTGCTATGCAAAATTCCTCACTTATACAATCAGTACTCGATCTACCATCGATTACCAAATCAACTTCATTGGACCACCCAACCGAACACTTAGTACGGAAGATACATGCCCGTTGATCACCATCTTCAGCGCCAAACACCAACCCTTGATCCTCAATTGGACCATTCCAAGCACAAGAAGTATCATGCTCTCTCTCCACTTCTAAGGCAGCGTAGTATGCCTCATAGAGCCTTGATTGCCTTCTTATCTTTGGGTGTTGTTTATACCCCTTGTCCAAGCCATAGTGGAAATGATCAGTCAACATGTAGTCGTTCTCATCCACACCCGAACTCAGGAACACACTCTAACTCCTCAAAGTAAGAGTGACCAGATCTACCATTCTGCTTACAATTGAGGAACTTCACTTTTGCTTCATCAAAGGTGTTAGTACCAGCATATCTTTCTCGCAAAGCATTCCTCAAATCATGCCAATCATCCAAATTACAATACCAATGATGCGAATATATATTTGAAACTAGCTTCCACCAATTCAAAGCACTAGAACGAAAACAACCATAGCTTGATCTTGCTGATTTGAAAGCAATTGAGACAAGTCTTGGTTCGCCTCCTTCACCTCGGCCAAAGCATCATGCAAGTAGTCAATTTGACTCTTCATGAGCTGCACTTGAGCCTCCATGCGACCCTCTACACTCTTTGAAGCAACTTGAGTACAACCAGCAACTCCGGATGACATCTTTGCTCAACAACTTTGAGAAACCACCAACAAAAGAAGTAATGTTCCTTTGTTACTACACAAAAACTCCTTGAACCCTTGAACCAATGAATGGTTCGGCCGAAATCCCCCAAGAACCAAAGGAAGGTTCGAATATTGCTCTCCCCAAAAACAAAAACTCTCTTGTGCTTTTAAGAACACTAACTCTCAAAAATTCAGAATAAAGAGAAGAGTGCTTCTCTTGTTTATAACCTTGTGATCTCGGCAGCAAGAAGAAGAAGAAGAATGGAGTAGAATGGTGTGAGAATTTTCGAAAAACAGCACCACTATTTATAGGCAATGCAAGTCTTTTTGTGCAAGAAAACTTCTACAAGATAGGACCTAAATTTTCTCAAGAATATTCCCTCCTTAATTGATAAAGTTTTAGTCGACAATATGGAATAAAAAGGAAAAAAATTCGGCCAACATATACATATAAAAGGATAGAGTCCTAAAACTTAGGTAATCATAATCCCTTTTGGACACGACTTATGAACTATGTTATAAAACAATGAAAGATTCATCCCTACTAATTAGAGACAAAAAAATCCGACCCCCTACTACAAATAGGACTCAAAAACTCGGCCAACACACAAGCACAATTGTATTAAAAGACTCAAAAATTTTCAGATTAGGTGAGACCGTATCCAGTGCACCCGGGTGCACCGTATAACCCCCGACCAAACACACGCGCATCATGCGCCTAACTACTTTTACCTTTACATTAAATGCACACAAAAAAATGTTTTCATCCATTTCATCCCCACGCACAAACACACACAAACACACAGTCGTTGGAAACTCTCCATTTTAGGGCAAATACAAAATTGACAACCACCACAAAATTACAGAAAGTCGACGGAAAACCTCCGTTGGAAGACGATTTTGATAACTTCATCTTCTCTCTGCGTTTTTTCATTTTGTCAGTCTGTTTTTTCACAAACACACACACACACACACACTTAAAAGACGGCGAGAAACCCTACCTCCGGCCATCTCAAACTCTCCTTCATCTATACATGCTTCACTGGTAAGTATATTACTCCGGGATCCTATTTTTTTGATTATCCAGCAATATTTTGTGTTTATCCACTAGATCTGAACTAGTTATCCATGGTTTCCTGCGTATGCTATGTGATGGTTGTCCATGCCATAATTGCTGGTTATCCACACATTTCATACTGGTTATCCACATAGTATATTGGTTATCCACCCATTTCATACTAGTTATCCAGAATTTGTATAGTGGTTATCCATAAGTTGTAAACTGGTTATCCATGCTTTTTTTTACATTTGATTCTATGTGGCATGGCCAAACTGAACTGGTTATCCATGTTTTTGTGTTTTTTTGTTACTGGTTATCCACTATATATCTGAACTGGTTATCCAAGTTTTCCTGCGTGTGTGCTATGGGGTGCTTGTCCAAACTTTGTTTCTAGTTATCCACTCATTTTATACTGGTTATCCGCAGGGTGTAAACTGGTTATCCATTGTTTTTTTTTTATATGTGCTTTTATGTGGCTACATGTCCATACATTATTTGCTGGTTATCCACCCATTTCATACTGGTTATCCACAAGTTGTAAACTAATTATCCACAAGTTATAAACTGGTTATCCACAAGTTGTAAACTGGTTATCCATGCTTTTTTTACATTTGATTCTATGTGGCATGGACAAACTGAACTGGTTATCCATGTTTTTGTGTTTTTTTGTTACTGGTTATCCACTATATATTTGAACTGGTTATCCAAGTTTTCCTACGTGTGTGCTATGGGGTGCTTGTCCAAACTTTGTTTCTGGTTATCCACCCATTTTATACTGGTTATCCGCAGGGTGTAAACTGGTTATCCATTGTTTTTTTTAGATGTGCTTTTATGTGGCTACATGTCCATACATTATTTGCTGGTTATCCACCCATTTCATACTGGTTATTCCTTTTTGATTACTGCTCCTTTTCATATCCTGCTATTTTGTCCACTGACTTCTTAGTGATTGTCCAATGCCAACAGTGCCCTAAAGGAGGCTAAAACAAAACATAGGCACGAGTGGATCAGCGCAAGCCACGACCTTAACCGCAACCCAGACAGATCACCGGATCCTGAAGCAGAGATAATGAAACTCCCTGAAGGAACACTGACCATATTTAAAAAACAAAAATCAACCCAAGAAGAACAGTCCCCTGTTCAAAGTCCAAGGCCCCACAACTTGGGGAGGAAACCAAAGAGAAAGAAGAGCACGCCGACAGGAAATCCAAAGCAACTTGTGGTTGCTGATGACAATGATTCGGCTGATGATAAGAAACCCAAAAGGAAAAGAACGAAACCTGAGAACAAACTGATCATTGGTCAAGATCCACAGCCAATCAGTTCTGAAGATTCTGTCAAGAAATTTGAGACTAGGATGACATCAAACCATCTCTTCCAACCCATCACTGAAATCAATAAACCAACAGATCTTACAAAAGAGCCAGATGCGGTAGATTATCGCCAACTACAAAGGCAGACTATCAGAGATATGGGATTTGGCGCCTTGCTGGATCTCAAAATCAAAAATATTCCAACAGCCTTATGTAGTTTTCTGGCAACAAGTCCCATTGAATGGCAACAATGTACTGGATATCAAACAGGAAGATGTTGTTGCTATACTTGATCTTCCTCGTGGACCCAAACCAGTGGAAGAATTCAAACAGAACGATCCCGCTATAACGGACCACGCTGAGATGGTGGATGCATTCAAGAAAAGAATGGGATACAGTAATAAATTCCTGCCAACGAGATCCACGACGGCACAATTAATTGCTGGTCGAAAAGATTTTGGTGATGACTTCAAACGAGATTTTCTGGTCTTCGTTGTGAGCACATTCCTACATGGAAACACCACCTCCAGGATCATAATGAACATCCTGAAGCCCCTTTTGAACATGAATGAGGTGACAGAATACAATTGGTGTCAATATGTGATTGATACACTGGTCAAAGGATGCAAAAGTCACCACGATGGGAAACTATTCACTGAACCTATCACTTTTTTCTGGTACTTACCATATCCATACAAATTTTACTAGTTATCCATATTGCTTGCAATGTTTATCCAATTTGCTTGTACTGATATCATTAACACCAACTTTTTTTCTTTTTTCTTTTTGTTAGTTATGCTACCTTGACAGGTGTGAGTATGAGAGAGCACATCTGAGGTCATTCCCTGTGATCAAATGTTGGGATCAAAAGATACTGGACGACAGATTAAGACTTCAGGGAAACAATTTCACAAATGTCCAAACACTTGAACGTCTCAAGAAACTGTCTTCAGCAGCATCCTGAGATGAACACCCAGAGGGGGAATCACATAAGGAGGATACACAGGCCAACCCCAACACACAACAAGTCTATGTAGTGTTCTACCATTTTTTTTTTAGATTATACCTACGTATCCAACCTAGCATCTCCACATTCCACTAACTACATTCACTTTTGCAGGACCTTGCTGCTCTTTATGAAAAATTCTACCAATTGATTATCACGATGAGCAAAACTGTTTTAGACATACGTGAGAAGGAAATGGAGTTAAAAATCGAACCAGATGAACAAGCAAAGAAAATAATCAAGATCCTAACAGATGCAATGGTGTCGATGAGTAGAAAGATGTCTCCGCCTCCAGGTACAACACAACACCAACAAGAGCAGCAGCAAGACTAGCAAGACCTCCAGGATGCACAGATTTTTGAATTGTGCAAGATGGCATAGAAAGCCGCTAAAAGCAGGTTTGCAACAATAATAGAACAGCTGCAGCGACAAGTAGCTGACCAACAACAACAACAACACCAACAAACTTGTGACAACACTGTACAAGCTCCAATTAATCCCACAAATTTTCAAGACATTGAAATTGACAAAGCACAGGGACTGGAGCAATTGAGCTAGACAAATGATGAGGATTCTCTTCCAGTGGGGAAATCCGTGCCTACTTCAAAAGAAGTGGTGGTTGATGAACAACAAACTCAACCACAAGGTAATGAATATTTTTTTAATGAAACAAATACTTGTCTGATGTAATTGTACTTGTCATCCAACTAATTTGTACTGCTTATCCAACCCCCTTTTTCCCTTTAAATGGTTATCCATTGTGTTCCTGCCGATTATCCGGCCTGTTTGAACTGATTATCCACTTTGTTTGAACTGGTTATCCAATGTTTCTAATATATATGTATGTTCGTACTGATTATCCAACATCCAACTTTGTACTGCAGCACATGGAACGAATATTTCCACAACAGAAAAGAAGAGATCCCATCAAGATTCCACCGGCTGGGATTCAGGTGTGACATCCACCTATACCAGAAGGTCGAGAAGCACTGGTACCAGGAAAAGGAAAGTATTCAAAGACCCAACTATCCCACACTTTAACCTGGGTATCTTCTCCAGTCAGGAAGACAGTTACGAGACAACCCAGGAGAAGAACACTGAGGAAGATATCACAGGAAGTGTTGATTTGGATAAAGATGTCAATGAGACTATAGAAGCAGAAGAATATCCAGTACCATCTGCACTCGACGAAACAAAGAATCCCACTCCTTCCATCGATGAAATCATAAGAACAGCCAGTGCACCAGCTTCAAAATCATTAAGTGATACCGAAAAACTAGAGATGATTGCCGTTGCTGCAGAACAAGTTGAGAAGAACTCAAAGGTGGTTGAAGCAGTCCCTTTAAGCATAATTACACCCGATTGGAATATTGCTTCTACCACGGGTGGTCTACTGATGTTGGAGAAAAATGAGTGTACCACGCCACCGGCTGCAATCTCAAAGGAAGCTAATGAGCTTGATGAAGAGTTAACAAAGACAGTGGAAAAGTAAGTTTAATCCACTGTGACCCCCCACTACAAAAAAGAAAGACGAATTTACATACTAACTCTCTTTTGTTTTGTCCTAGGATCCTCAATGAAAAACCTAAGAGGAGAAATCCACCAAGAGTCCGCCGGTTGCCCGAACGGTTTAGGTCGCCATTCATGCTGCAGAAGAAAAACAAGAAAAAATTCATACAGTGGACAGAGGAGAAGAAGAAAATGACCCAAGAAGAAGCCCTGTTGATAGACTTCGCTCTCTTGCAGAGACAAGAAGAAATAGTTAAATCAGGGTAAAATTCACCATCCTTACCCGTGGGATTAAAAACTTGCCAGTTTTCCAACTATTTGTCTATTTGACTACTTTTTCTATGCAGGAAACTCTTGTTTGAATTTGGAAAAATCGTTTGGGCAGACAGGACAGGACATGGATAGAAAACAGCATCATAGATGCTTGGGCTGTCATCCTAAACAAAGAAGAAGCTAAGAGTGACTCCCCAAGACGGATATTCTTTGGTGTTTCGTCATTTGTAAGTCAATTAAACCCTTATTGTTTATCCCGCCCTGGTACAATACTTGTCACATGTCTGCAAGTTGTTTATCCATATGTTTGTACTTATTATCCAATTTGTTACTAATGCTTGTCCACCAGAGTTGAACTGGTTATCCAAGCTTTCTATGTGGTGGCTTGTCCATGATTCATTTGCTGGTTATCCATCTGTTCTGTACTACTTATTCACAAGATTTGAACTGGTTAACCATTCCTTCTTGTGTGTCATCTAGGCTACTTTTGGTTGACCTTGTACATGCTTGATTCCGATCATTGTTTCCTAATGCATTTTCCAACCATTGTACTGATCATTGTATCATTTTCCAACCATCTCAAACAATAACGTAAGATACAATCAGTCGATACTATCAACAGGGCAGTAACAAAGAGGAAATCGAGTTCACATTCTATGAGAGGTTGGGTCTTGAGCTAGAAGAACAAGGCCTTACTGTAGCATCCCTGTTAACGGCAAAAGCTGTAAGCAACATCTTTCACCTCTTCACTCTTTCTATAACTGGCTGTTAAAAAATTTTCATATGATTTCCCCCTTCAATATGAAATATCAGATCTACTTCCCAATATACTACCAAGACCATTACTTCTTGTATGTGTTGCTGGTTGAAGAAAAGAAAGTGCTTTTCCTCAACAATATTCATGCAAAAGATCTGGACTACTACAAGCCAACGAAAGATCTACTTGTGAGTGAAAGAAAGATACAAAATGATTGTCATACTTTAAGAACTATTCATTGCATTTTGCTGATCCCTGGATTTTATGGCATCACAGTTTCGGTTCTTCAAAAGCTACGTTGCATGCGTGTTTCCAAGCATAGAACTGGTCAGTGCTCAGTACACCTTCACAGAGGTTACGCTACCATCACATAAGGACAAAACGCCGAATGCGGAAGATTGTGGAATATACACAATGCACCACATGGAGTGGTATGATGGTGGTGAGTACGAGGATGGTACTACTTAGGATTTCAACACAGGAAACATCAAAGAGTACCGGTGGAAATACATGATAAAAATCCTTATGCACCCAGCCAACAAAAATAAGGACAAAATCCTCGAAGCAATGCACCAACTCTATACAAATACTGCTGAAGAAGAACAAAAAAAAATTCCAGATCATGTTGATTTGAGCAGCAAATCTTACTACAATGACAGAAAAATTCTGGGATGGGTTAAATGAACTGTCATTATGTTCTCTTGTATAATTGATTGACTATTGATCCTAAAGTGTTTGATATCCAACAGCTGTGTACTGGCCATCCTAGTATATTATCCAGGCGTTTGTAATGGTTATCCAGGATCTTTGTACTAGTTATCCAACTTGTTACACCTGATTATCCGAATGTTTTATAGTGATTATCCAGTAAAAAAAATACAAGTACAGTCTTTAACCTGATTATCCAAAAAGACATAACAAAAGAAAATATCCATAAGAAAATAACAAGACAATGTATTTTGGTTGTCCAAATATTTCTTTAAATTCCCAAACAACAAAAACTGAGTGTCCTAATTTGTTGGTCTTTCTACTTCTTTATTAAACTGCCTATCCTATGATGTTATACTGCTTATCCAATATTTCTTTGCTGATTATCCAATGCTCTATATTGATTATCCAGGACTTTTGTAATGGTTATCCAGCCAATGTGCAGCAATATCCAACCGTTTGTAATGGTTATCTAGGATCTTTGTATTAGTTATCCAACTTGTTACACCTGATTATTCGAATGTTTTATAGTGATTATCCAGTCAAAAAAATGCAAGTACAGTCTTTAACCTGATTATCCATGAGTTTATACTTGTTATCCCAAATCTCAATACTGCTTATCCATACGTAACCAATGCCTATCCACCATGTGGGCATAACAAAACAAGGATTCAGACGGGGCTTCCAAAAAGACATAACAAAAGAAAATATCTATAAGAAAATGGCTATCCAAACAGCATGTTCATTGGGGGGCTTCGCCCCCCATGATAAACTAAACGACTCCCGCAGTTACCGGAATCGTAGGTCACCAACCTGCCCCGGCTGCGCCGTCCCGCCGAACACACCAATGTAGCTAAGGTAATCCTTTTTTGTGTGTGTGTAAGGAGAGTGTGTGTGTAAGAAGAGTGTGTTATTGCGTTAAGAGGGGACACAAATTACTTGTATAAATCCCCCCGTGATAAACTAAACGAACCGGCTGCGCCGCCCCCATGCCGAACATGGCAAATTTCATAAATAGTATTTAATTGAATAAGGGGCAGTTTGCCAAATGATGGAGAACAAAAAATGAATGAGGGGCAGTTCGCCAAATGATGGAGAACAAAAAATGAATGAGGGGCAGCTGGATAACCAGTGTAAAAAATACGGACAATGATATCCAAGAAAAATATAAAAGGAAAAAAATGATAGTCCACGTTGTCAACATTGATTATCCAACAGGTTAATAATGGTTGCCCAATGTGTTAGTACTGATTATCCAAACGCTTTGTAATGCTTATTGAATTTTTACTTTGTTTTTATTCTTTATGAAAAATGCTTGTCCATAGTGTCAACACTGGTTATCCAGCTGTGTGTAACTGGTTATCCATAATGTACACACTGGTTATCCACATTATCAATACTGATTATCCAACAGGTTAATAATGGTTATCCAGTCATTTTCTAACGACTTTCAAACTGGTTTGCACTTGTTATCCAAAATGGTTATCAGAACTTGCCCAATGTGTTAGTACTGATTATCCAAACGATTTGTAATACTTATTGAATTTTTACTTTGTTTTTATTCTTTATGAAAAATGCTTGTCCATAGTGTCAACACTGGTTATCCAGCTGTGTTTAACTGGTTATCCATAGTGGGAACACTGGTTATCCACTATGTCAATACTGGTTATCCACAGTGTGGAGCATGTTACTGTGTATAACTGAAAAGCCACATGTTTTGTAATTAAATAGAATTTAAAAGATTGAGGGAGTAAAAATAAAAAAAGAAAACTGAAAAGGCTCATGTTTGTGCAAAGTACATCATGATCTAATGGGTAGTTATAGAGCCACACGTTTTTACATGGAATGGATTGAATAAGGATCAGTTACATAACTGTCATTAAATGAGTTTCTTGATTATCACAATGACAGTTAATGAATAGAGAGTGAGAAGACACTGATTTGTGAAAAAAGATAGGACTGCATGGGTAATTAATCCGTCAAACTAGCTTTGTATAAACTCCCTCATCTCCACATACATCATTTCTATAAAACTCCCTGACATCTCCACATACGGCATTTCTATAAAACTCCCTCATCTGCAGATACACCAGAACGCCTGATTTGAGCATCCAAAACATCCAACAGCCAGAAAAAAATGAAAAACGAAAAAATTTCCTCAAATTCCACAACCAAACAAATGTCCCCCAGGCAAGCAAAGCAAGAAAAGAACAACTACCCTGAATATATCCATCACGATATGCTTGATAATATGTTCATTAATCTGACATTCGAAAAGATTGGTGAGTTCCGTCGTGTCAGCAAAGCTTGCGAGCAAATGACGAAAAGACAAGAATTTGTTCTTCAAAAACGTGAGATGAGCTACCCTGCAACTGAAAACAACATCCTTGTTTTCACTCAAACAAGCCAAGAAGGTCACCTGTTGCAAGACAAACTAATCGCCACCAACATAAAAGTGCAAGTGGATAAACCATGCAACCACATACGATTGCAAGAAGAAATGTCGATGGGTGACGACGGCATCCATAAAATCATGCCTATCACCACAGATTTGGTCTGTCTGCAAACCAGGTCTCAAATCAAATTCTTGAACCCAAAGACAACACAACTTGCATCAATTGAATGGCCATATGATGTCCCCCTCAGCAATTGTAAAACAACATTTGGGTACGTATCATCCTCAAAAACATACGTTTTCATGGCCCTTATTGCCGATGGAAAAAACATACAAGGCTGCATTTTTTCTTTTCAAAGTTGTTCAAGTATTCATAGAGGGGAATGGAAAACACTTTGCAATGTATGTCCTCGCCTTGTATCTGATGGAACCTGGTTTGATAGATTCGTGTACTGGCGTGTAGACAAACTATCTTCTGAAATAGCAACACCTCAAGAGTTGCTGGTCGTGTTTGACTACCACACTCAACAATTCCAAACCATAAACTGCCCTCCATCTCCAATCTTCTTTAACCCCACTGATCCTTATCATACGAATCTCCAAGTGAAAATATTGGACTTCCAGGGGACTTTGTGTGTAATAGATGAGTACCACATTACTCAAAATCATCACTGTCAGATGTGGGCATGAGATCCAGATACGATAATCGATACGATAATCGACATTGTCAAAGGATACGATAATCGACATTTGTTGTTGTATAGTGTTCCTACCAGGAAAATCACACACTCAAGTACATCGCCGGATCTAGAAACCAGTTTCATCATTACAGCATGTTACTTCTGGGAGACATTAACACACTTTTAGGATTTTTTTTCTTTAAAAAAATTTATCTTTCCCTTGTTAACTTATTACTGAAAATAAATGTCCATTGATCTTATACTGGTTATCCCAGGACTTTGTACTTATTATCCAGATTATCTATACTGGTTATCCAATAATATTATTTGTGAAGAAAGCGTGTTCAACGTGTTCATGTCTTTTTTGTAATATCTATATACATTTAGTTGCATATCCGGTACAAGCGAGTTGGATATCCAGTATTGACGAGTTGGATATCCAGTACAAACGAAATGGATATCCAGTACAAACAAGTTCGATAGGCATACAAACCAAATGGGTGGATATCCAGTACAAATAACTTTGGGTAACCAGTTCAAACTAGTTGGATCACCATGAACACAACGGATAACCAATTTAAAATAACCACTTGGATAACCAGTACAAACAAAATGGATAACCAGTTCAAACTGGTTGGATAATACTGTAATTTAAAATAAATAATACTTTTTAAATAAAAACCTTTACACCATCAATACTGTTTATTTCAACATCAAGTAAAAATACTAACAAAACATCTTGTTGAAGAAACGCTGCGCTCCAGCCTCTATGGCAGCTTCCCTTCGGTTAGGAAATGAGAACCCACCAAAGCTTTGATTCATGAATGTCATGTTTTGATGAGAAGCATTCACAGCAACAGAAGTGCTTGCGCCTTGAAACTCCCGGCCAGCTCCCTTGGGAATTAGAAATGAGAATCCATCGGAATTTTGGTTGATTAATGGCATGCTTTGATCAGAAGCATTCACAGAAGTGGAAGCCCCTGCCCCTGAAAAATCTTGGGCAGCTACACTTGGATTAGTAAATGAGAATCCACCAGAATTTACGTTCAAAGATGGCATGCTTTGATCAGAAGCATTCACAGCAGCAAAACTTCCTGAGCCTGAAAAATCTTGAGAAGCTCCCTTTGGATAAGGAAATGGCATGCTTTGATAATTCAGGTCTGATGCAACTGAAGCTCTTGTTCGGTCAACAGCAATTCTTGCATTTGTTTTCCTGCCTCTGACTTTGTTACATGCCTTCTCAACAATGGTTTCAGGACGTTCGTTCCTGGGACCAAACTTCTTCCTCTTTACAGCCGGATTCTTTATAACATCATTATTGTCTACAGACTCATCATTATTATTCGAACCAATGAAACTGCCGAGTTCTTCTTTAAGCCTGTCAACCGCCTCGTCACAACATTTCTTTGCATCTTTGTTATATTCACTTGCATACACCAAGTCTGAAAATCGTCTCATAATTAGCGCCTTCCACAATAACGGCCCAGCAACTTTTCCATCTCCCTCATTAGCTATGCTTGACCTGGTACCATAACCTTTTGTCCATCTCATACATATATAATCTTTAGGAAACTCATCAACAGAGGTTACATGACAGATTTGAAGAATGTGGCAACAAAGCATGCCCGCCTCAGAATAGTACCTGCACGTGCATGAGAATCTCTGTAACCTAGTGTCATGTACAACCCCATGCTTAAAGTGCTCAATCCCAAACCGTCAAACATTGTACATCACAATATTGCCATCATTTGAGATCTCTAACTGCTCCTGCCTGCACAACATCCCATCTTTGTGCAACTGCTGAACCTCCCGAAATGCTTCAACTGTGTACACTCTGCGAATGCTCTCCAGGAAAGGGTCACCAGGAAGATATAAATCGATGTTTCCCTGGATACAGCGTAGATCTTCACCCCTCATAGCTACCCGCCAACAGTGTACAACATCAGAGAAAATTCCATGGAAATCACAAAGCGATGATGTGGCCTTCATTTTACGACAAATTGCATTATTTGTTGACTCGCTCCTCTGTGAAGACGAGGTACCACCAGAAAAAACATCTTTGCTAAATACAGGGCACCACATATGCCTCACATCATGAATACCATCATGACAATCATACTCATCCAATAATCATTGCACAACAATATAAAACACATGCATAAAAAGAAAAATAGTTAGATTATCCATATAGATCCACAAAGAAACATGTATAGCTTTCTACTACTTATCCAGTAATCATTTACATGTATATCCAAAACATGGTACTGTCTATCCATCAGTAACCCCTTTAAACCCCTGCAATAATTTCCTAATACTTATACAAGGGCTTTCTACTAGTTATCCAGCCATAACGGGTAGTTATCTAGAATGTGTAAACTAGTTATCCAGAGATAATTGCTGTTTATCCACAATGTGTAAACTAGTTATCCAGCCATAACAGGTGGTTATCCAGAATGTGTAAACTAGTTATCCAGCCATAATTGCCGGTTATCCAGAATGTGTAAACTAGTTATCCAGCCATAATTGCTGGATATCCACAATGTGTAAACTAGTTATCCAGCCATAATTGCTAGTTATCCAGAATGTGTAAACTAGTTATCTAGCCATAATTGCTGGTTATCCACAATGTGTAAACTAGTTATCCATGCCTTTTTTTAGTTGTGCTTCTATTCGGCTGCTTGTCCATACATTATTTGCTGGTTATCCATCATTGTTGTATAACTTACCTACCTATAAGTAATCATCAGGAAGATCATGCATGAACACTAACACATACCCACACAACAAAAAAAATAAGAGACACTCTTAATCATGGCAATGATCAAAATAATAATAAAAATATTGACAAACTGACCTCCTCCATAATACCTCGAACTCGATTTCTATTGAAGTGTATTTTATCAGATAATTAAAGTTCTTAACAAAATCTGACTTGTTCCTTAATGACCAATTCGCTTTCTTGAATTTTCACCTATGTGCCATATACAGAGACGATGCCGAGAATTTGGAAAACATGTCCGAATACTTGCAGCAATGAAAGGTGCTTGATCTGTCATTATGGTTTGTGGCTGCTTATCTCCCATTGATTTCAAAAACTGCTTGAACAACCAATCAAAAGAGGGTTCTTTCTCGTTTAACACAAAACCACAACCAAACATGACATTCTTGTTATGATTATCCATACCCACAAACGGAGCACATATCATTCCATATCTGTTTGTTCGATACGTTGTATCAAACACAAGCAAGTCACCAAACAAATCATAATCCTTTCGCATTCTGCCATCCCTCCAGAAGAAAGTACACAGCCTACCCTGCTCATCACAGTCAAAATCAAAGAAGAAATCTTCTTCAGTTTCTTTCCTATCCCAAAAAATCTTCATCAGCTGATTATAATCACCACCTTCAAATCCAACACCAGGACGCTCATAATTGTAGGCATCTCTCAAAGTATACTTCATGTTCGGACTTCCCCCGTGTAATTTTGCCACAAACTTATATGTATCAACCAAAGGGATGCCACTCCTTGTCATGTCTCTGATTATCTTCATATCATTTTCATCTACTTCACGTTGAGATCGAAGAAGTCCAATCATTTCATTCGGCACAAGATCATGATTGTGATCGACCAGATGCTTTGTACAGGTCCACAAGCCATCTTTGTCAACAGTAAAATGGATATAAGCTGGACACCCACACCGAAAATTAATCCTCTCATGGTACACATCACCATTTCCACCGGATCTCTTGTATCCTTCGCGGTTACAAGAGAACTTCTTCATCCTAACTTTATCAGTCTTACCTCTAAACTTCTGTTTTCCCACTCTCACACTAAAACCAATCAATCGGGCATGGTCATTATACAAATCATAAGCTTCTTTCTCACTTCTTGCAGTCTTGCCAACTAAAGTAAAAACAGCCAAATCATTATTCATCGCCACAGATGAAATTTCCTTGTGCAAGGCATCCTCCTCCACCATCACATTATCAACTCCCAATTCATTGCCGCTATTATCTTCTCCACATTCTGAGAAAAACAAAAGAGATGGTTGGATAGCCATTACTATGCAGTCGGATAATCAGTATTAACACAATGGATAAACAAATCAAAAAAAAAATTAAACACATATAAACAAGTTAGAAAACCTACCCTTCAGAGCAGATGTAACTCCCATGCGAAAAGCATCATCCAGCATCACATCATCCCCCAACTCATTGATATGGTTATCTTTTACAAAAAATGAGACAAATAAAAAAACAAAAAATTTTAAAAAAAATCTTTGATGCACAAAATCAATATAAACAACTAAAAAATGTTGGATATCCAGTACAAATCAGTTGGATATCCAGCAAATAAAATTTGGATACGCAAGTAAATCGGTTGGATAACCAGTACACATTAGCTAGATATCCAGTACAAACAAGTTGGACATCCAGTACAAACATGTTGGATATCCAACATAGCATAACTGCTTATCCACTTCATATAACATTAACAAAAACAGAACTGTGAAAAAACTAAATTGATTATTCTCTCACAAACAGTACACTCCGAACTGTGAAAAAACACCAATTCAATATAAACAACTCAAAAATGTTGGATATCCAGTACAAATCAGTTGGATATCCAGCAAATAAAATTTGGATACGCATGTAAATCCGTTGGATAACTAGTACACATAAGCTGGACATCCAGTACAAACAAGTTGGATATCCAGTACAAACATGTTGGATATCCAACACAGCATAACTGCTTATCCACTTCATAGAACATTAACAAAAACAGAACTGTGAAAAAACTAGATTGATTATTCTCTCACAAATAGTACACTCCGAAACCTACACAAACCTGATTGCAGCTGATCTACAATAGAACTGTGACCTTGCGTTGATTTACTACCACTACATTCCGCATTCATCAAGCCGGAATCCTTAACGAGATAACTCATCACTCGATCTGAACTCAACATATCGTCGATCCAATCACCGTTTTGCCACTCTGGTGGAATCGGAGCCTTTCCTTGATCGCTGAACGCCATGGCCGTCTCAACGACTCGATCACCGCCGGCTGTGTCCACCTCAACGCCTCGATCGCCGACTCCCATTGCCGCCTCAACGCCTCGATCGCCGCCGGCCATTGCCCATTCCATCACAAAGTTTCTCAAATTTGAATGAATTTGGTTATTTATATAACCCCGCGTTTAAACAAAAAAGAAAAAGAAAGCTGAATTATAATAGCGGACTAACGTTATTATAAGAGAGTAAAGTACACGCGCAGGGGGGACACGGTACTCTGGGTGTACCAGATAATTTGCCAAATTAGGATAAGACTTCCTTATCTCAATAGTTTTCGAAAATAGACCTACTTTAAAACTCTAATTATAATCTCACTGAAATTATAATTTAACTCATGCAAAAATTAGTATTTAAATCCAAGTAGGACTCAAATAAAACACACAATAAAATTGTATTACCATTAGGAAACAAAGGCTGAAAAATTTCGGCCAATGTGAACACTAAAATCCAAGACCGATAGGTCTCAAATTATAACACAATTTGGACTCAATGACCTTAATTTTAGGGATAAAATTTTCGGCCATGTGAACACACAAATACAAGACCGAATAGGTCTCAACGTGTAACACAAATAGACAACCAAAATTCAAGTTCAACTAGGACTAGGAAACCCTAATTTTTAGCTCAAAATTCGGCTATACTATGACTCTAAAATTCAAAACCAACTAGGCTTAGAACTCCACATAAAACACGCACACACATGCATTAATTCAGCAAAATTTTGACATTTAACTTTTACCACATAGTTAAAATTTAAAAATTACTTTTGACTCACTTTAAAAAAGGAAACTTGGAAATTACCACTTTCCAAAATGTCCAACAACTTTTAGAATACTTTCTAAAAACCACTTTCCAAATTGTATATGGAATTAACAAAAATCACTTTTTACCAAAACAATCTATGGCAAATAAAGTAACAAGAATACCGTAAGTATAATGAAGTTGGAATTTAAAGTTCCTCATTCAACTATGACGTTTGCTTCATAATACTCAATTTAACACAAACCATTCATACGACTCAATGACTCAACAAGGTCATCTTCATAAGTGATCATTTGAAATCAAATTTTCCAAAGACCAAATATGTATACTTCAAGAACATATCTCAAAGCCTATAAGATTTCTTGTTATATATAAGAAAATCTTTAGTAAAACTTCCCTCAATTCTCGATTCAACTCACGAAAATTAAGGTTTTAAACACAAGTCAAAGACTTCAACCCTTAAAGTTGGCACAATTCAACTTCAAAGACCTTTAACATTTTGATACCAAAACTGATATCACTAAAATTCATTCTTCATCAAATGATAAAGAAAGTTTTGAAACTCAAGTTAAGAATCATGGAAAGTCCAATGATAGGAAGATCCACTAATTCGACTCATACTCAAAGTATAAACTCGAGAAAAACAAAAAACCGACATTTGTTACTTTTGAAAATCTTTTGACGCTAAGATTTGAACAAAAAGAAAAATAATCAAACATAATCGGAACTCTATGAAATTCTCATTGATTGAAAATTCATAAATTCCATTTTACTCATTAGATTCAAATGAGAACCAACAAGAAGGAAGGCCTTTTCATTTATACTTTATGTAGAAAGTACAAAATCACTAAGCTTCACCTTTCAAAGAATAGATCCAAGATATTTACCACAAGATAAACTCTTAAACCCTCATGTAAAGACATCTCTTTTAGAAAGAAAAGGCTATCTCAAGGAAGAAGCTCTTCTTTGGCATCAATTCTCTCCTTAAAGATTCAACACATAAGATCCACTAACTTGCTCATAGGAGAAACAGTTCTCTACTTGCAAGTCAAGGATAAATTTCAAACTGTAGCGGCCACTTTGACTAGATACCAATGTTTCATCATCAAGCTCTTGCATAGACCTCAAAATAACGCCACAAGATCAAACAAATGTGTAAGAAGTCTCGCACAACCACACAAAAGACAAGTTCAATTTTGAAAACCTAGTTTTCACAAGAATATGATTTATTCTTTCAAAACCCATTCTGCGCCAGAAGGAACCTTGAAATAAATAAAGATAGTACTACTCGTTAGTAGCACAAAGCTCGATTACCACACCAAGAAACAGATTCCGTGGTAACTCAAGATATTCTCAAAACCAAGAACAATGAAGTCGTCAATCAAGAAAAAATCTCGAAAATCAACCTGATACTAAAAACTGATATGATAATATCAATTAATATCAGAACTTAGATAGTTCAAGCTCTGATACCAGAAACTGATAGCAATCTCGTAGATGAAGCAAATTTTGTTAATGCAACCATCAAACAAGAAAGTACGAAGATAATTTATCTATTCCGTGAAACTCAAAAGAGTGCGAAAAATTCACAATAAGACAATCGTTTATCTAAGGATTTCTATCTCTTAACTCAAACCAAGTAAAGAACACATAATCCATGAAAGATTCAAATTAAACAACAACCCATACTAAGAATAGTAAGGACACCATTCTATATACTCGATCAGTCATCATTCAAGAGACTCAAGAAAGGTAGGAGCAAACAATGCTCAACTATGAAGGAATACTATTGATTAGTAATCTCTATAACCAACAAAGATATGCAACACATACACTATCTCAAAATGTTTATGCCAAAGCACAATTCATCCAACAAAAGTAGGACAAACCCCACAAAGGAACTCATGAACACACACATCATGAATTCGAAAACCATAGCCAAAAGAAAGGCTCAACTCTTGAACTACTAGAAGTAGTATGAAAATAAGAAGTTTAGTTTTAAAACAATTCTATCAAGAAGTACAATTGAAAAAGAACGGTTTCTAAAAGATTAAAAGATCTAAGACAAGATGAAAACCCTCTTGGTTAAATTATACTTGACAAATGAAAAATGGACACACCATTTAACAAAAATTTCTCACAGGAAAAACTCTCATTAGAGAAGACTAAAAATGACCACACACGGGTGCTTTAACTTTCGGCCATACCCCCCTATTTATAGGCTGGCAATTTCAGCCAAAGCACCAAAAAGAAGACCAACTAGGACTCTCTAATCTTATCTCACGCAGGAGTAGAGTTAGAAGAGTATTTGATCTCTTTGACTCTATCTAAAATCTAGGAAACCTTATCTAAATGACTTATCCTCAAATAGGATAATACTTAGAAGAAATCTAAGATTCCTAATCAAAACACTCTACGTTAATTCAGTCCACATGACTTATTTAACTAGATAAAATCGAACATTAATTCCTAGACTAGATAAGACTCTAATTCTCGTAAATCAGCTCCAAATATTGAAGTAAAATGTCTTGAACGCCCTTCCAAAAGTGGAATATCGGTCTTGCGCCCCTCAAGTTGTAGATAACTCTAATTTACTCCAAAACTTGTAGAATTCTCTTTATTGACTCCAAAAGATTGGAAAAACACTTGAAACAATTGAGATAGTTTGCACCCTATCAAATTGTGTAGCAATGGACTCAATCTTGAACAATTTGATCAAATAGGCCATCCATTCAATAACCTAAATGACTCTTCTCTCTAGCTTGATCAATGATCTTCATGAAGCACCTAGAGTCAAAACTCCCTTGATACTGTTGAGCACTTATTTCCATGAGTGAATCATCTCCTTTGCTTTGAACCCCAAAGTTAATGACATTCTCATCATCTTGATCATAGCTCTCTTGAACCAACTCCCTATCACATAGGTAGTCAAGATGCATCCTTTCTTCCTTGATTGGCCTGCAAAGTAAACTTGGCATCCCAAAACTAGAATGAAAGACTAGCTCATTCCCCTCACTAGGAGAATCACCATGAAAGCCTATATGATTCTCATCAATGAATAAAGGGGATCACAGTGATGAGCACATGATGGATTTCCGATTGCCTTCATAAGATTTCTGAATATGCCGAATTAAACCCTAGCCCTAAACCATTCCTGCTATGGTTTACGGAAACATGTAACACCATCAATATATATATATATATATATATATATATATATATATATAAATATACTAGTGTTTATCCCGCACAAATAAAAATATGTATGAGTTTAATAATTTAATGATTATATATATGACAATTCTAATGGAGTGATATTTGTAAAAAAAAATAATATTATTAATGATATAAATTTTAATTGTATAATTTTTAGTGTCAATGTCTTTTGTTATTTTAATTAAATACATTTGTATAAATTTCACTATTGGAAATCATTTAATATAACTTATTGTCCATCTTTTTGTTTTTGTTAGTTTATGCCTTGGATCTTCTTAAAAGTATTCTCTTAATTTTTCATAACGAAATATTTCTATCCGTGTCATATGTTTTAAACTCTCTCTCTAACAGAAAAGTTTCTCATTATTTCTTTCCATGAACTTATCCTTTTTTTTTTCATCTCTCTATATATCTATACAACCTTTCTTTAGAAGTTTGTTCGCATATTTTTCATATAATATACTGTTTGCTATTTTTCTTAGTTGCATAGTTTTGACCTTTTTTTATTAAATTTGACGACCTCTTTTTAAAGCTTCGTTTCTTGAAAAATTTGTAATAACTATTTCATTTTTTAGTATTATCTCGCAACCGGAAATATACATCTTATTATTTTCTTTTCTTTTGTCTCAACGTGTTCATGTTATAAGGAATAAATTAATTTAAACATATATTTCTTATATTTTCTTTAAAAAAAAAACCTATCGTATTTCACACAAATATTTAATTATGTTAAATCCAGGAATAAAAACACAAAAAATCTAGTAAGCAATATTAAGATAGTTGCTCACTAAAAGGCGCTAGGGTTTTCTCTCTAGTGGACGGCTCTCCAACGGCGATACTCCCCTCTCCCTAAGGTGCATCTTTTCCTCCCGTTTTTGACCATTAATCCATTCTTTTTGCTTGCTAATTATGCTCTCAAATTATATCTTTCGTGCTTAACTTCTTTCTCTTCGTTTTTTCAATTTTTTGCTTTACTTTTGTTACCAGGACTCCGCCTTGGGTTTGTGTCTTCAGCTAGGGTTTGTGTTTCTACGGCTGCTTCTAGTTTGTGTGTACTCTGCCCTTGTCTACGGTATGGAGGAGG